ATGGCTACACAGTTTGCCCTCAGCTTGGTAGAGCAATTATTGTCGCGCGTCTGTACTGCATTTCGCCTTACGACGAACCACAGAGGGCGCCACGTGGCACCGAATGCCAATCCAATACGATGCGAACTTCATACGACTTTCTGGAGGGGGGCATAGTCGTGTCGCGGCCCCCCGATCCCCTCTTCCGCTTTCTCAGGAGCAGCCTGCCGATTCCTCTTGTGAACAAAAGAGCGTGTGTGAGGGAGAGAAGTTCTTCCGTCTGCCACGACGGATGGGGGGGGCGCTGCATATCGGCAGAAGCCAAAGCCATGGTGGAAGCATTAAACATAGCCAAAGTGAAGGCGTTTTTACCGCTCCCTTGCATTTATCGGCGCTCGTGTGAATATCCAGATTTCTCGGTCATTTTGTAGAGGCATCTTCACTGTTGCTAAGTTATCACGTGAATTAAGGGGCACGCGATGCCTAGAAATTGCAATAAACACTGGGAACAAAGCAACAGCAATACTACAAAACCCTTAATTTTCGCGAATCGAAAAATTTATGAAATTTAAGGGCTCGCGAAAATTTTCATTCCTAAGAGTTTCAATGCAGGCGCTTGGAATTCGCGAAATTTAGCACTGCGTGGACGACATTGTCTAGGTAGCTAATTTCCCTGTCCTTGCATTCGGGCAAAGGTACGACCACGTCCGCACGGACCGCAACAATTCCACGGCCGGCGCGAGGCCCGGCAGAAACAAGGGACAGAATCGAGGCCACGCGGCGGACGGCGCCGGCCGGCGAGAACAGAACCACGTGGCACCGACGTCCGGTGGGAACTCCTCTTTGTCCACGGGCAACCACTCCAACGGTCACGGATCGCAGCCAGGTGAGGAACCCGTTGACATTTTAGTGTGTCCTCTACGACACTGGGCTTCGATCTGTCGTCGGAATGTAACATTTCCAAGGGTACAGAGCTTCGTCCGACTGTATTTCTGTGTTTAGCACACCACAGTCACTGACAAGGTGAGAAAGGCAGGGAGGACCTCCAGTTGTCCCGCCTCCAGCGCTAGTTTGCAGCCTTCGACGACGCTTCGGCGTCTTGTGCGCCCTGAGCCCGCGGACTCGCAGTCGAAGCACGGTGAAAAGTATGGAGCGCAAGTTACATGCCGGGCGTTCCAAAGACACACCTTGCCGTTCTCACTCTCTCAGTGACTTTGATGGCTGCAGGCTGGTTCACACACAGCACCGTGTTCTTCAATTACGCACAAGTCGCCAAACCATCTGTGTCTCGAATGTTGTGCGACAGGCAATCCCCTTGGACTGGCAGCCACGCTTGATATTGCCGCACGCATGGCCGAGAAGGAACGCTTCTTCGTATTTCTAGAAGATTCATGTTTATTCTTACCCCGAGTGTAATATATAAGGAGACCAGCATGACCTTGCTGAGCCTGTCTCCCGGGCGTTCGATGCTTGGAATTTTCGAGATACTGAGTGGTAGTAGATAGGCAACCGGGCGTGGCCTTGCCGACTCGCCCTCCCGACGTCGACATGCTCGCACTAGCCAGCTGTTACGCCGACGCCTCGACGCTCGCTGCTGCTTTCTCGGCTCCCATTCTTTCTTTTGTTTCCAGCACAAGTCCGCCGATTAAACCTTTGCTTTCAGTTTTACGCTGGTTGAGCCTTTGCAATCTGCAACGATGTGAAGCACAGATGTTCCGGTGGCTTGTGACGTGAGCAGACGTAACCTTCCATAACGTAACATAATTTAAGAAAACGGGCCTGCGTGAACCAGCTTTAATGATTAAGGAGCTATGGCGGGTCTCTTTTGGGTCTCCCACCTTATGTGCACGCTTGGCATTTTGACGATTTCTGGATCATTTACTGATAGTTTACTGCAACCAGCGACAGGTTAAGAACCCAGTCGGTATTCTGCCTCAAGTGCGAGCTTTCTGCCTTTGGTGACGTTTCGTTGCACCCACAGCCCAAGCCCAGCAGAAGGCACAGCGTACGTTGGAGGGCTCTTAACCTGTCACTGACTCTACGTGCACATGGCATCAGCAACCACCGGGCATGGTCTCTTGTCAAAAACATAAATAACAGAAAAGTGGGAATTAACAAATTTTTGTTGAAGGATGTCCGTGTTGCGCAATGTTGCACTTGCACTGGGAGAGAAAGTTTTGGGTGAATTAGCAGAGGCGATGTAGGCAAGGCGGTGAACTTTCAACATCCTGCTCCCGAGACTCGGGTGTTTAAGATGTTGAAAGTGTTGGGTGTACGCATTTAGGCACTCCAAGCACGGTAGCACACTAGCGCAAGCACCCCACGAAAACTGTTTGCGGGACAGTGGAGAAAACCACATTGCCGTTGATGGGCATCGATCCATTGCCTAACGATGATACCTAGTCGTTCTGACGAGTCTCTAGTTTGGAACGGTGTGGTTGGCAGTAGGGGAGAGAGCCCGGGTTCTCAAAGAACGCTTTCCGGTCTCCTGTTTTGAAGGGCCGTTGACGGTCCTGAAAAAGGCCGGCAACGCGGCTTCTTCGTGGGACGGCGATCCAACTTGCAAGGCGCTGCGCTCTTCGAGTTGGGCCGACGCCCCAGAGTTCGTGCCCAAAAGTATGTTTGTTTTGTTGCACCTGCCTTCGTTTCTTCTTTTCCTTTTCTCAAACTCTTCTCTCGCACTGGGACGCAGAGTGTAGTTGTTCAGGTGGTCCCAGGGATAACAGTGGCACTCTGAACTTTGGGTTGCATGTTTTCAAAGTCACGTTTTCGAACGAATATCTCGTAAAACTATCTTTCTGTACTACTTTCTCAACCAGCTTGTAGAGGGCCTGCACTGAGATTTGGGGCATGTTGATGATTGGCTCAGTCCCGCTGATCGCATTTCTGGGCCCACGTGCGACTTGGACCCAGTCATTCACTCCTGTCCCCTTTCGTAAATGATGGTGACTTGCTGACCGCATGCTTTGCGATAGATTGTATGTGTGGGCATCATTCACACGCTAGAGGTTGCTTTAGATTTTAATGAATGGGGTAGAAGTAAATGTGTTGCAACATATCTCATAGTCTTTTTAAGACATACTATGAGCTAGGCCTTCACATTTCTAGGCTTGCACTATCCTAAATTAAACAAACCATCCTGTCCATTTTTTTTTTATACATGAAGTAGCAAAAATTACCTAGTTTCTCTTGGAAAGAAAGCTTGATTAGTATGCAAATCATATTTTTTTTCTAAAGGACATCCATTCTCTGCTGCAAGCAACTAAAGCTTTAGAAAGTCTCATAGCTTCTTAGGCGTATGGTTTCTCGCTGCACAAGAAGGGCGAGCTAAGACGAATAGGGTCAGTGGCAAAGAACAAAAGCCCCACCCTTCTTGTTACGAGCACATTCTAGGTTCCTGCCGTCACCCCAGGCTTGAATTTCTGTTCGTTGGGACCGTAACAACTGAGAGGATTAGAACCGCTGGGAGGCCTTTCACTTGTCTCGCCTCCAGTCCGAGCTTTTTGCCTTCGATGGCACTTTGGTGTCTCAGGAACTTCAAGTTTGCTGGCACAAGTAAAGCGCCGTAGAAGGCAGCAGACGTGCTCTGGAGGCCGGGCATCTGTGAGAAACAGCCTGTCGTTCTTATTCTGTCGGCGGCTGTAACCGTGGGCGTGTCTCCAGTGCCCTTAGAGTTGGGATCACGTCGCTCGATCGTTCCGACGGCCCGAAGTCTCGCCGTCGCCACTCATTTGGGGTCCTGGAGCAGTGCTTAAAGGGAGCTCCGACGCATGTCGCAATATAAACTGCCCCCCCCCCCCCCCCCCCCCCCCCCTAAAAATAAAAAAACATTTTAGCACAATATTTTTGTTGCGAGGCTCATTGAGCGATTCCAACAGATACTTTCATTTCGTTGTCGTCCCGAGATAGAGACATGCTGTGGAATCGCTCCTAACTCAAAGTTTGTCTCTCAACATAAATATTCTGCTAAAAAGAGGGAAGCTTACTGTGTGACGTATACATGTCCTGTCCAGGCACATAAAGATGTTTTAGGGAGTTCCCGTTTTTCTTTAAAGAAACACGTAACTAGAGAAAGGTTATTTTTAGGTGCCTATATAAGACGTGTATGTCGTAAGAAACGCTTTCTTTAAAGAGAAAATATTTTCTAAAGTATGTCAGAGTCTAGGCTTGTTTTGAGTATCGAGACATGCTTTCATTTGGTGCTTCTGTTTAGTGACGACGTGTTCAAGTAGAAGCACATTTTGGAATCGCTCCCACCTCAAAATCGGGCTTGCGACATAAATTATGCGATAGGGGGAAGTTTGTTTCGTGACAGACGTCCGCGATTCAGGCACTTGAAAGGAAAATTTCTTGGGTGTTTGGTGTCTCTAGGGGTCCGAAAATGGGTTTTTAGAAAATATTGTGCCACAGAGTTGTTGAGAAAAGTTTATTTTATGATGCTTACCCTGTTCCAGCTCCTAAAGTTTTTCTTTTTCTGGCAACCTCTGCATTTTAAGCTGCTTTGCCCCGTTCACCGGTGCCAAAAACGGCATGCCACGAGGGCCTCTGGGCGTATGCGCAGGTGGGGCATCCAAACCGGTCCGGTCGTATGCGGCGATCGTGCGGCCCGAGGGGTCGTCGCAGAAGGCGTCCTCGCGGGACCTCTCCAAGGAGGCGGCCCTGCCCCTGTGCCCGTACGAGGTGGCCAGCGACGGGTGCCCCCTGGGGGAGCGCTGCTCCTATCTGCACGGCGAGCTGTGTGACCTGTGCGAGAAGCCCTGCCTCCACCCCTTCAACGAGGCCCAGAGGAAGCAGCACAGGGAGGTGCGTGAGCAAACGCCACTTCCGAGATTGGACCCGTTCTTTGCAGCATGAGCCTCCCAAGCAGCACGGATTTGGCCAATGGCTGGCAACGGTCCTTTGGCCAGTGGCCTGACAGTAGCCAGCATGGAGGTAGGAAGCTTCTTGAGGCGACATGACGCCACCAGAGGTGAAGCCAGAGGTGTGAAGGGACATGACTTCCAATGACGACCAAAACCAAGAGACGCCAGTGGACGCAAAGGAGAGCTGACCGTGCGCCAACAGCTCTCCTTTTCGTCCAGTAGCGTCTCCTGGTTTTGGTCATTGTTAGGGGCAGTGTCCTTTCATTTTTCACTTCACCTCTGGTGGCCTCATGTCGCCTCCAGGAACCCCCTTACCTCCATGACAGCCATTGACTGGCCTTTCCCTGGCCATGGCGCCGTTGGCCGATGAATGGTATATCTTATCGCCAGCTATTAACCAGTGCTTCGCCAAAATCCGTGCTGCTTAGGCTCTAACGACCCATGTCGGCGGTTTCAAACTCTTTGGAGTGTGGCAGCCAGACGGCGTGCCCCCCCGAGAAGGTTGGGGGCTAATGTAGGGCGGGAAGGGCGGCGGCAACTAGAAAACCAGTCTGGTTGCCGTCGTCGCACATAGATGGCGGCAACCTTTCCAGCTATTTTAGAAGAATGAATAGTTGGGCGAGTTGGTGGGAATTCATCAAAGGAAACAGTGCTCAAAACAGACGACGACGACGAAGAAGAAACACACGGGACGAATTTACAGCTTCGCTGGTCTTCTTTCTTCACCAGAAAGGAAAGGCTGAAATTTTTTTCCACTAAATTGAGCGGGGAAAGTTTCATCACATGACTTATACACAAATTCAATTTCCCCGCTAAATTTAGTGGGGAAACGGACGTCGCTCGGTGTGACGTGACGTACACACGAATTCGGTTGCCCCACTAGATTTAGTGGGAGAAGTGACGTAGCACAGTTTCAACACCAATTCAGTTTCCCCGCTACATTTAGCGGGAAAATAGACAACATCTGACTTAATGTCATCTGACCTCAACACCAATTCAGTTTCCCCAATAAATTTAGCATAAGAAATGACGTGCATGACTTGATGTCATGTGGCCTCAACGTCTGTTCAGCCTGCCCGCTAAATTTAGCAATAAAAATGATGTCACACAACTTAATGTCACGCGATTCACATGCAAATTCAGTTTACCCACTAAATTTAGCGGAAAAATTATTGCGCAACCTGCTGCGGCTCTTAATTCTGTCTGTAGCTAATTTTTTTTTATACAACAACTTTGATCCCATATCCATGCCAGGACAATGGTAGGGCACCGCCCCCTGACGTCGTGTCATTTTTTGATAGGATGAGAGAGCATGCACTCTCGACAAAATGGCGGCTTGGGCGAGTAGGTTATCCATGTCTCAAAATACCAGCACAGGTATGGAGTTACGCACAAACACATGTCACCACCGGCCATGATCGACTCCGTGAGCACAACAACATAACTAGAGCCAACTCAGGACATTTAGGTCTACATTGTCGTGGTTGAGGATGTGCGGCACATCTAGATAGATGTACAGTGCTGGGCAGAAGCGGCAGCGAACTGACTAGAGAGATAGTAGAAGCGGAAGATATTGCCAGGTATGACAATAAATGTGTTAGCACTCCATCGCTTACTTTATCAGGAAAAGAATTAGCTTATCTTTCTACTATAGGATAAACGCGCATGATCGTCATTTCATGCTACGTCAAAGAAGCCAATTTTCACGAATCTATTGGGCGTAGAAGAAAAAGAAGTGTAAATATAGATTGAGTTGTGAGTCAGCGCTGTGTGTGTTTTGTCTGCTGTGATTGTGTCACTATGTGTGATTGTTTTTGTGGCCGGTGGTGACGTGTTTCTGTGTAACTTCATGCTTGCGCTGTTATTTTGAGACGTGCACTCTTGTTTCCCCGTCGCTTAATTTGCTCAAAAATTAAGCTTGACGTGCGGAAAAAAAAAGACCTTTATACAACAGTTTTTGCTTTCCTGACTATTTTATAGCAGAAGAATAAGATAACCATTGCATTTTTAGTGGTTTTTCTTGAAGGCCAGATTGTAGCTTTAACCTTGCTTGGTCGAGCCGAGCCGGACTTGTTGCAGCCAAGGCATGCCCTTGAGCAAAGATCTCGCGTTTGTATCGTAGCTGGGGAGTTGTCGTATGGTCGAACAACGCGAGAAAGCCGGTTCATTCCACGCCAAAGGAGGTGCGGCAATCCTTTCATTTTTGAGACATGCACTAAAAACATTAATTTGGATAAAGAAGCCTCTGAACTCCCAGTGATGCGATTGGTGCGCCAAACTGCGCCAAGGGGCTAACCCTGCTACGTCCTGCTATATTTTGCCGAAATATGGGTAATCTGCGCCAACCCTGCTCCAAAGGACCGATTTCGGTCGCCTTCCCAAACCGAAACTAAACTGAAAGCCATAATTGAGCATGCGTGTGCCAGGTGGTGCAAGCAGCCACCAGACACAAAAGTACCCTGCATCAATTGTCCATCCGGTCTCGCATAGATTTTTCCTGCCGTCTCAAAAATTACCTCTCGCGTCTTTTTAAAAAATTTTCAATGACAGACGCGGGCGTGTGCGCATGCTCCGACGCCAGTGTGTTGGGCGCCAGTCATGCCGTCATACTGTGAAACAAAACCATGTTTTTGCACGGCGAGAGTTACTTTGTGAGCTGAAATGCTCGCACAACCACAGTCAGCGTGGTCGCGTGATGTGGGGTTTTGCCGTCCCCACGTCGCTGCAGATATGCCGCTTTCTATAATTGTTCGACATTTCTGTCCTTGTTTAAATCCTACTCTACTACAAAAATCTCGCTTTAACTCAAAGACTGCTTTCGAAATATTGATTACCTAGGTTTCTGTCGGTGGGCTTTCTTTTGAGAGAACCTAGGTTCGTGAAAACTCTGCCACGAAAGAAAGTTGGTGAAGAGAAGTGCGCTAAAGCCAAGAATGCATCACGCTTGTTTGTCTCGAGTTCAGTCGTTGCACAAAGCGCTCCAAGAACGTTTTAACCTTGGCTCGCGATGTCATGCATCGATGTGCTCAGGTTGGCAAGCAAGCAACCTGGCAAGCACGCGCTGCTCGACTTTTTTTTTTGGTCGTATGCTGGACAGTTACATTTTGCATACTATTTTGGGGACCAGTTGGCGACGGAGTGGAGTGGCATTGTTTCACTTTCGATTGAACAGTTGTTGTCTCCGCTCACGCGAGGAAGCACGTGCCACTGCAGGCCTGCTGAAGTTGCCCTCACGTGCATGTGAACTTGACTGCAGAACAGAGGCACCAGCCGGGACGCTTGCAATCCATTGCTTTACGTTTGCTTACTTTTGATGAAAATCTGGCACATCGGGAACCAGTAAAACAGTGGCAAGCATTCTTTTTGGAATTCCTCGGCAACGCCTACAAACTGTACACCTATGGGATGTCTCAGCATTAAAAACACAAACAACGAGTTCCGTCACAACACAGCACTAAGTGCCCTTCGTTTGTCCAGCACTTAAAACAAAAATCTTTATTTTCTTAAGAATATCTGCTCCAAATGCCACTTTTGCTGCTCCGAAACACTGTTTTGGCTGCTCCAAAAGCCACTTTTGCTGCTTCAAAACCCTGTCGTGGCTGCTCCAAAGGCCACCCTTGGTGCTCCTAAACACTGTATTGGCTGCTCCAAAAGGTGCTCCAAGATGGCTTAGGTCAATCACATCACAATCACCAAGAAAAACATACTTTTGTGAAAAAAATAAATTTTATTTTTGCTGATATCATGCTTTAAATTTCTGGAATTTGCATAAAACCCACGTAGTTAAGAAAAAATGGTTGCATACCACACACACATTTAGGTGGCCACCTAACTACTTAATAACATGCCCCCTCTTACTGTAAAATACAAACATTGAAAGATGCCATTTTCGGTCCAGATAGGAGTTCCAAAAGCAGAAACCTCATGAGAATTTTATTTTATTTCCTTTAGTCGACTTGGAGTTGCATGTTGGCTGCAATACTTTTTTCGTCTGTTCTCGTAGAACTAACAATTGAATTGCATGTGTGCAAAGCAAAGCCTTGTTTTTCAAAGGCTCGTTTTGTTGCATTTTAATTAAATTACGAAATCTCCGGTTTATGCAGAATTGACCTTATTGAGATTCAGAAAAGGTAGTGTGGGCATCAGTGCCTGCAACTTTCGAAATAGCCAAAAGTTCAATCCACCTCATCTCTTCAACGTATAAAAAAAAAATGAGAAAGGTACTTTTTGTTGTTGCCGAGAAATTATTTCTTAGGATGAGCCTCGTAAGCGACACGCACCAACATTCGCCAACGAGGCGTCAATGATGTTAGATGCAATGTGTTATAACACAAAATTGCTACAGTGTTTCATAGAATTGTAACTAAAAGCAGCCCATTTCCAACAACTGTACTTAAGGGTTCTCGTCAAACTTCCACAATGCCACAACGTATGCGGGGAAAGACTAATCCAATTTACTGGTACAAAAATCTGGAACACATTTTCAGGATATCTTCGAAACTCACATTAGTTCAATAGAGCACTGAAGTACTATCTGCTCTTTTCTCCCTAAATCATCTTTATTTCATAGCCACTGCTTTCATTTAGTTAATTAATATAGCTCTAAACATATTGTTTATATTCTGCTAAGTTACGTTTCAGTTTGTCTTTTAATTTGCGTGTTGAATAAACACTCTGCATCTTGGATAATAGATTTCTTTAATGAACCCACACTAGCCAATTGGCTATAGGTCCATCTGTCTTTTCATTTACCATATTTTCCGGGCTATAGTCCGCGGACTATACATGTTTAAAAGTTGAAATTTCGGGCTGTGCAGACTATCTACGCTTGCGGACTATACAGGAATTATGTTTTTCAAGATCGTTTATTATGACGAGGCGTGACGAATTTTGTGCACGAAAGTGTATGTTAATGATGATTTATGCACATTATAGGCTTTATTGTGAGCTAAAAAGCAGACATTTGTAAACGTGTGCCGTCTACGAGAAGATTTTCGTGTCAACTAAGCACCAGGTGCGGGCTATGCACCGGGTGCGGGCTATCTAAGCAAAATCTTTTATTTTTGACCCCGAATTTTCCCTGCGGACTATACACCGGGTGCGGAATATAGTCCGGAAAATACGGTACTTGCAATTGCTTTCTGAAAAAAGAAAAAAAAAAAGGAAGAAATTGAAGATAGGACAGAAAGAAAGCATACTGCTGGGGGTGTGAGGTCTACTATCTTCGTCGAAAAGCATGCGTGCTATGGAGGCCAACTCTCCGACGAACCAAAAATAGACGTCACTTAGAGTGCGCTAACTTTCAGAAGTGGTAGCCGTAGGTGTGGGGCACTGTTTGTATATTCCAGATTTTTCTTCTATTTGTCGTTTAATTTGACAGAGTTGTAGAATTTACTGCATTTGTGCACCTTTTGCACGTACACTGCATTTTCAAGAAATAAAAATTTAGTATTTTTGCAACATCATATCGGCCTCTGTTCCTTTTGAAAGAACAACTAATTGGCCCCATTTTGATGTGTCGTATTCCTCTATATGCAAGTTAGTTAGGAAAATAAAAGCATTTGCGCAGATCATTTGAAAGTTGCTGCTTTTCCAGTTGTCAGAGAAAAGTTAATGGCGTCTCAAGCGTAACTCTTGCTGAACAGTGGATCTTTTCCTGTGCATGGAAAAGGTCCACTGTTCAGAGAGTGTGCACATGCACAGGAGTTACTCTCCTGTGCATGTGCACACCCTCTCCCCTGGCCTTGCTTCTCGCTGTCTACATTTTCGCAGGACACCATCTCGCACGGCCAACGTCGTCGGCGCCTATTTTCCACGTATTTCGTCTTTTTTGACGATTCTTCTGGGTATCCGCAGCATGGGGCATAAAACGCAATAAAAACTGATACAATGGCATAATGTCAGTCTGTTTTGACGAGCGGAGTCCTGTTGGGCTGCCCTTCGTTTGTAGTTTGCGGACAAACCGCCTTACGGTGCTCGTTACTCGAAAAAGGTCCATTTTGCTGAAAGTATGCAAAGGTTATGACCTTAACTTACCACAAAAAGTTGGTTATTTATTATTAAATATGTAAACAGAAGAAAATTTTAGACTGCCAGAAAAAATCCTAAATTAGTTGAAAACGGCTATAGCTCTCGCCACCCGCAAAATGGCAATTTTATCTGCTCAACAATCGTAAAACTCCTAAATTTAGTGGGCAACCTGTTAAATTGGCAACACTGATTTGGCAGTGCCATTCACGCTGGATTGCATGCCATGCAGTGCCTCTCTAAGGGATTTTCTATGGCCCTCTTTCTTTCATGAGCTTTCGGTCGTCCACAAAATCGCAACAGTAGTTTCAGCTTCTATTTTTTGGGTGGCGTTAATTCTCTGGTTTGGACACATGCAGTGTCTTCGGCACTTTGGCTGGAGGTCGCCCGACCATAGGTGTGGAAGCAAAGAGGAGGGAATCGGTCGTCATTTCACTTACGCTTATGCCCTTGCCTAAGATTCCCTTTGCACGGCTGGTTTTTCTGAAGTTGCTTCTCTGCCAGTGGCTCCGTGTTGTTCTGTCAGTTGCCGATGATTTGTGCTGGACCCTGTTGCTTCCAGGCACGTACGGGCAGTGTTGCGCAACGTCTCGTCTGTGTTTTTTCCCGCAGGAGTGCGTGCTGAAGCATGAGCAGGACATGGAGCTGTCGTTCGCGGTGCAGCGCAGCACGGGCAAGGCGTGCGGCATCTGCATGGACATAGTGCTGGACAAGGAGCCCCCCTCGGAGCGACGCTTCGGCATCCTCGAGAAGTGCAACCACATCTTCTGCCTCAACTGCATCCGCAAGTGGAGGGGCTCCAAGCAGTTCGACTCCAAGACCGTCAGGTGGGCGTGCATTTGTGCGAGGCGGGCAGCTTGCAGAAAAAGCGAGGGCAGAATTTCCATTTGCCGTATACACCTTTGCCGCTGTTCTACCGCAGTAACGGACCTTTTACGATTAACGAGCGCTGTCTGGATGTTGGTCCACAAACTATAAACGAAGGCCAGTTCAACGTTCCTCCACTCGTCAGTACACATTGGCATTGCGCCGTTGTATCAGACTGTATTGTTTTTTTGTGCCCCGTACTACCCATACTCGGAAAAGAACTTTCACAAAAGACTAATTATGCGCAGAGATGGGTGCCGACGACGACAGCCGTGCAGGACGGTGCTCTCTGAAATTGGTGGCAGCAGGAAGCAACGGTTGGTGGGAGAGGGTGTACGGGCGCGCAGAGGCTTGCTGCGGAGAAGGCATACCGCAGTGACCTCGTCATTAACTGGATGGTGAACCGAAATTTGGATTTCAAAAAAACAATGCTGGAGACGTAGGCGGGACGCTACAGTCCCTACAACACTACTAGTAAGGCGATATCTCAAATGGACGGCCATATTTTCGGAAAACGAAGCAGAGATTGAACCAGGCCGACTAGGCACGCGACGTGAAGATACCTAGTTTCCTCCTCTCTTCGCTTCGCTCCCTCAAGGCCGCAAGGCGGAGAAGACACGAGGCCATTTCCTCTCCTTCTTGGAAAAACATGACGTCAACATTCCTGCCAAATGCGCCTCTTTTTTTTAAAAAATACGGTCATCCGTTTGAGATATCGCTGTATGAGTGATGTTTTGGTGTTTGTAGCATCCCGTTGCACGCTTTTGCCACGTGTTTTGGGGATTCCAGATTTCGGTTCAGCATCCCTTTAAGCAGTCATTCTGTGGGGAGGCAGAAAATAGAGGGGTCAAAATGAGGGCGCAGGAAACACGCACGCCGAAGACGTGTTCCAGATATTGTATCGTGAGAGGGAGCGAAAAAGGTGGTGCCATGTGATGGTACCCTGAGGAAGCCATTGGTTCCTAGAAAGTCAGTTTGAAAAGCCAACCTCTTAGCTTTATTGATCGTTCTGCTGTAAACTAGTTTGATTAGAGTAGGTAGAGCGAGACGTGCGGGCTGTTCTGACTCAAAGGCGTTCCATCTTGATTCAGGTCGTGCCCCGAGTGCCGCACTCCGTCGGACTTCGTCACTCCGAGCAGCTTCTGGGTCGACATGGGTTCGGAGAAGGACAAGCTGATATCAGACTACAAGAAGGCTCTCAGGTGAGCTCACGCCATTGGGCTTCGTCTGCGTGGCACAAGTCCGTAGTGGGGGCAGCTCGAGGGACCGTTGTTTTTCTCGTTTCAGTGCGAAGCCCTGCCGGTACTTCCAAGAGGGCCGGGGGGAGTGCCCCTTTGCCGGCGCCTGCTTCTACAGTCACACGTATCCGGACGGACGAAAGGCCGTCCTCCCGCCCCCTCGGCCACGCAGGAGGCAGAACCACAATGGCGACCTCGAAATCATGGATGTGAGTGGGAACAGTCGGAAGTGTTTGGGAGGTCGAGGAACCGCCCAGGGTCGTCCGGGGTCTGCCCGCTCGGTTCTGTTCGACGGCACAGGGCTGCCATTCCGTAGCTACCGACGGCAGTGGTGTGAGGCAGTTTCGAGGCCGGGCTAGATGGCGGCGTTTCTTACGACCTTTGCTCTCGCACAAAAGCAGTTCAAGTATTTCTACCGCGTGGGGCGTGACCGTGCCACCCCTCCAAGTGCTGCCCCTGAACCACCCTGAAAAGCTGTTCCGATCGCAGTGATTGAAACTGTGTGCCAATGTACCGGAACGAAACAACTATAGTGTGCCGATACAAATACTTTTGGCTCACGATAGATGTAAAATCGTTTTTTGTTTTTTTTTAAGAAGACGAAGGAAAGCGTTCGGCACAAGTCTTTGCTGGCAGGAGGCCTCAAGGCCCGTAGACCTTAATTAGTCTGATAGTTTCTCCTGTTCAACCCCGGAGCAAGCACGGGGAGATTTGGGTGTCTCCTTAGAAAGGGTTAAAGTGCCCTATGGGGGGGATGAGGTTGCAGTGACCCCAGCTAGCTGCTGTGGGAGGGAGAAACTACCCCTTATGCGAAGGGCGTGAGATGGCGTGACTTTTCATTCTAGCCTGGCCGTGGTCTGAAACATTCAGTAGCTTTAACTGTTGCGTTCTGCACCTAAAAGAAAGCTAAAACACTTTTTGAAAAAAAAAAGAGTTAGAGGTGAATTCTTGCATATTTTTATGCAGTGAATCTTAGTACCACATTAGTTTCCCCTGAAAAAGTAACTAAAAGCAAGAAAACACGAAAAACCTCCGACCAGTCGTGACGTCATAACTAGGATCTTTTGGGCCGACAGGCGCGTGCCGCTCGTGTGGGCGGCGCATGCGATTTCAGGCTTGCCAGGCATATTTCCCTGCATTGACACCGGTCGTAATGTCTCTTCTTGACGTTCTTGAAAATAGCGCGAGTATGCGTGCGTAACTTTGACAGGAGCTGTAGGTGCGCGAGAGCGGAGATTCCAAAACTCCTAGTATGGCCTCGCGCCCCGGGAAGGAAGGGCTTGAGCGATGCTTTGAAAATTAATTTCTGCCGCCTCCGTGCGTTAAAGTGATAAATAACCTCGATATTTGTGATCCTGGAGGCCAAATAAAGACGAAAGTGTTTTCTCTCAAATACAGAACCACTTCATTTTCCCTTTAAAGGGACACTGACAGGATATTTTTGCTTGCAAAGGTTTTTATTTTTACATGACATATCAGAGCCCAACTACCTAGAACATAATTTGCAGCTCAAATTTTGTTTTCTTTACGCCCGAAAATCGTTGATCGAGAACTCGCCAGTTTGAGTCTCACTCACTCTCTTCTCTGTGGTCACGTGCCATTTTTATGGTCTAGACACAACTAACCAAAGATATCAAAGTTGTGGGTCATCGAAGGCACACACTCAATACTAGAAATAGACAACAAATTGTACCCATTTTCGGGGCTTCTAAAAAGCTGCAAATACTTGATTGAAGAGAAAAAGGTTATAGAAAAAATCGTAAGGGTACAGGCGAGCTGGTGAATATTAACCAGGTTGATTTAACCTGAGACTGGGGTAGAGAGGAAGCATCAAAACGTAGAAGGGACAGAAAAAAGACAGGACGACGTCTCAAGACGTCGTCCTGTCTATTTTTTGTACCTTCTACGTTTCCTGTCTATTTTCTGTCACTGTAAAATACAAGTTGTTTTCTGCAGTGCACTGCATACACCATGCGAACCAAACTAATCTAGCCCACGCAAAAGAAATCTCGGTAACGAGTTTTGCATACCGCAACTCTGATTTTCCAGAAAGGTGTGGCTAAAGTGCTTTCTTTTGTTTTGTGGAAATATGGAAGGAAAACTTACCTCATTGGAAAGTTTCATAAAATAGAGACTTCTTCCGTGGATCGACATGGTGTTGAAAGGGCAACTCGGTGAAATTTCAAAACATCTCAAGATAATGTCCGACTTGACGTCTAAAATTACTTACGAACGACTCGACATTGTTCCTTTCATGAGAAGTCAAATATCTTTTGAACAATCTCGCTTTGGACATGGCTGGCGGTGACCCTGTCTACTTGATGCCCTGGGACGCTTAATTCTAAGCAGCAGGGCGGCCAAGATATCGTTACTTCCTTGTAATGACGTCAGACGTTCCATGCTGTTGCCTGCCACGATCGTGGCAGCGGCACGACGCGGAGGCCAACGCAGCGGACGCCCGTTCTGCTGCGACGTCGCTCTCCAGCCGCAACAGTTTATGGAACCTTTGGCAGACACAAGACGGGATGCCGCGACGGCGGCGACCCCCGTCTCCGCTCGCCTTTTTCACCGGCGTTTCCACAACCGCCAGGACTGCGACGACCGAGAGCATGGGTTGCTGGCTCCTGCAACGCGCTTTAGTGCCACTTAGGGAAGTAGGGCAGTAAAGAGACCAGTCCAAGATGCGTTAAGGCACAGGGAAAAGGAAAGCAATACTCTGGCTCCGCCATTTAGTTGCAATAGTGGGCGGAGCGGAATACATTCTTCCCGGCGAAGTATTTGACGGTTCCCTCGTCTTCTCGCCCCCGACAGCGCCTCTACCTGTGGGACTTCCTGGACGTCGCGGAGACTCACATGCTGGGCCCCTTCAACCTGGAGGACATGTTCGAAATCCTCTCGGAGACTGAGGACTCGGACTCGGATTGGAGCGACATCGACATCCTTCTCACCTGAAGCACACCCTACCTCCGCCGTCGCCCACATTATATATTTTTTTTTTCGTCTTCTGCCACTTGTTTTGTTCCAGGTCTTACTTTCTTTCTTTCTTTTTTTTTCGCTGTTTTGTTTCACTTGTTTTGTCCTGTTGAGTTTCGGAAAAAAACAACAAGAGGGCGTGCACCGTCCCTTCCTCCCCTTCTGCCGCCCTCAGAATTGAGCCTTATTCTTGAGCTGCAGGTTAGCAGGAACGATGAAGTCCGCTTTTTGACCAAAAATCTATTGGAGCACATCGTTTTATCCATCGCTCTCGTGTGGTCAGTTTGTTTTCCACAAAACGTCTCCGCGCACACCCCCCTCCCCTAGTCCGTCGGAAGCGGACAAGTTGTAGAAAACACAGTGGGTGTCAGGAAAAAGGGCTCACCCTTCGAGATTGTGCTTAAAATGCAACAACTAAAAGCGGTGCGTCGCAGTTCAATATTTTTTTTCTTCTCTGTATATATTATTGTTCGAGGATACTCCTAGAAACTTGAATTTGTCTTGTGGTACGAAACGGAACTACCGTCTCATTCGGTCTGTTGTAAGCAGTTTCAGTCGTAAGAAATATTGGGCCTCTTTGTTTTGCTCTTCTACAGTCTAAATTTTACGGCTCATCATAATTTAATAACCAGCAGAGTGAACCTTCAGGAGGATATATAGAATGTTCCACATCCAGTTGCTGTGCTTTATGGCGGATTTTATGGCACAAGCTCTTAGGCACCCATTACATATACAGTATAGCGAATAATGACGCTACAATGTAGGAAGAAGTGATTTACGAGCCACTACCAGTCAGATGCACAATTGTAAATCTCTTCTAAAAAAAGAAAATACTGTGGTGTCTTGTACTGCCCATACTTCCTACCACCCACCTTTACTGCCAGTATTGTGGGTACCTGTTGTAGCACAAATACGCACGGGTGTTTTTTTTTTCTTGTAGTCGTGTTTGAAGTGGTGTTTGTACCCCACCCCAGTTCGTATAACGAGAACAAGGTGTGGCGAGACGTGCCTATCGCTTTGGAGGGAGAGAAAATAGCGGCGTTTATGCGACAACGCGGGATCCTTTTTGTGCGCGTCTATAAAAGGGACACCGGAGGCGACGGCGTGTGGTTTTGTTTTTGCTCACAGGAAGGAGGACGCCGAAATGCATTTTGCCACGTGTGGCTGAGAAAAGGTTAAGTGTTTGTTGCCGGAATTTCCGAGCCCTATGTATGAGAGGTAGAAACTCTTTTCAGAAAGACGAGTTAGGATTATTTAATTCGCGTCACTTGCAAATATCGAACGAACTTCAAAGTAGCGGATGATTGTAAAGCTTATGGTCTCGCAAGGCTTGCTTTTGTGATTTGGTTTTGGAGACCCGTTGCTACAGTTGCCTACGTAGGAATTATTTTTCCGGGTTTTTTTTTTTTTCTGGGAGCACAATTTGAGCGGATCTGTTTTGGATCAAACTGTCAAAAGATCCGTTTCGGTATGGCTGCCTGCACCGAACGGTAAATGCAAAGCTCGCAGCTGTGGCAACGTCCGAGGATTCAAGCCGGTCTTTAATAAAGCAAAGAGTGTCTCTGGAGTGGTGAGTTGCTGTCTTCCTGTGTCATGGGTGTCTGAAGGATGGACAGGGAAGCATCAGGTCTTCTTTGTCTTGGCAGACTTGACTTGTGCGAGGATCTCGGGAAGCCTCTGGAGCAGTTCGTCGGAGGTCATTGAAAAGTCACTCTCGAACCAGATCTCTTTCAGCTTCCCAAGGACCGTTGCAAACTTTGGCCCGCTCCGGAGACCCCTTTCAAGGAGCATGTTTCCATTGACCGGAAACCTGGGCACGTCCCAGCACCGAAACCGTTCCAGCAGTTCGGAGTCTGCTCTGTACTTTAGGACCTCACAGATCCATTCCTGGACGTCTCCGACCTTGCCCTTTGTTGTGAAGAGGAGTGCCTGGTACGGCTTGAGCCTGTCGCCCAGACACTTCTTATCGCACCTGTGCTTGACAACGAAGAGCACCAGGTCTCGTTCGTACGCCGACAGCTTTAGTCTAGCGTGCATGTTCAAGACTTCCGCTTCGGTCTGGAGCAATGCTGCCAACAGTGTGGTCGGTTGCGGAAATAGGTGCTTCGAGCGCTCGCAGACTTTTTCGAACTCTACCAGGTCCGGGGACTCCGGCAAGCCGAGAAACGGGGAGACCCCCAGGTCGACTAGTCTGCAGACTAGCTCTCTGTTGAAGTTGCCCACCAGTATCTTCTTGAGCTCTACCCAAAGCCGCTCGCCCGAGATTCCGCCGAGCCCGCCGACGTTCTCCCGGATGGCCGTCAGGACCTCGGGTTCGTGGGAGTCCGGTTCGACGGCGATGCGACCGTAAAACCGAAAGTACCGGAGGATCCGGAGGTAGTCTTCTCGGATCCTCTGCGCGGCGTCGCCGACGAAAGCTACCCGCCGCTTCTCCAGGTCTTCGATGCCGTGAAAGAAGTCGTAGACCGTGCCGTCTAGGCCGAGGAACAATGCGTTTACCGTGAGGTCTCTCCTGTTGGCGTCCGTCTCCCAGTCCGTCGTGAACTCGACCTCGGCGTGGCGACCGTCGGTCACCACGTCGATCCGGAGGGTCGTCACCTCGAAGTTGGTCTTGTCGTTGATCCGTGCGGTGACGGTGCCGTGCTTCTCGCCCTTGGTGTTGATCATGCGCACCCCTTCGTCCTCAAACATGCTTTTCATCTGGTTAGGCGTCGCGGTCGTGGCGAAGTCGAGGTCTTGCGGAGCCTTGTGCATCAGTAGGTCCCTCACCGCGCCGCCGGCGATGCGCAGCTCGTGGCCGTGCCGTCGGAAGATGTCGACGAGTTCCTTCACCTCGGGAGTGAAGAGTGCCCGAAACTGCGGGCTGTCCAGTTTCATTGTTTTGGGTATTTTGAGGCCGGTCGGTGTGCAGGTGGCGAGGCAACGGCTGTGGAGTTTGATGCACCGTTGCGGAAAGATGCGAAGGAATCTTGGTGTGAGGCTGGCTAACATGAACGGCCTTTTCCCGGTTGTTGCCGTCACACGGGGCTATTCATATTGAAGTGCAGTATTATTGCTCGACTGTGAGTAACGGGAGTAACGGTGCTAAAAGCAGCTGGGGGCACGCGGTTCGATGAAAACAGCGTGTGTGTTGTTTGCACAAAACCGGAAAAGGCGAACTTTCGGAATCGAAACAACAGAAGTCGACCGTGGAGATTTTATTTATTTAACTCCATAAATGTGCTTCCATTAAATGTAGGTCGTTTAAATATCTTTTCGTGTATTTATAAGAATGAGAGACGTCATTAGCCATTACAGTTTATATTTTGTTGAGCTTGGTAGCTTTCGATCAAAACGTTTACCGATTAAAAATTGTGGAGCTGAAATAAATTCAAAGCATTTGCGTAAGTGCGTGTATGATTTATTTTTATTTAAGTTTAGTAAAATGGTTGGCAAGCAATGAAGAAAGTCTGAAAGTTAGCCATTATGAAAGACAACTTGACGAGTTTCTGTTGCGATTAAAAAATGGCGGCAGACGCGATGGCAACGGACCTAACAAAGCGACACTTGGACGAAATGGAAAACGGCGGCGACAAAATCAAGAAGGTGAAGTTGAGCGACGGCGATGACTACCAGCACCTCGCTTCGTTCGAGAACTTTGTGCCGCGAAGAGTCCTGAGCGAGGACTCGCGCACAAAGTTCATGTCCGTCGAAGGGACGTTTGGCAAGTCCACCGACACCGCGGTTGTGGTCGTCGAAAAACGTCCCTTCAGCAAGGAAAAATACGAGGCCGTTTTCACCGGGGACACGAAGCTGGAGGAAATCTTCCACAACGACATCTACACATCCTACAACGGCACTTTGGCGTCGGATGTTCATGGTATGTTGATATAGAATCGCTGGTAAGGTGAGAAGGATACGGCATCTTTTGAACGCCTGGCCCCCGCCCCTTTCTTTTTTTGGTTTTCTTATAAGACTCCGCCTTCCACTGGGTGTTCCCGAGCGATATCCGAGCGTGAAATGAACCGCATAAATCAGCCAGTAAAGTAAGCGCAATGAAACTCTCCACAAAGGTGTCTTTTGGGCGGTGCACGGGGGAAAAAACAAACAAAACAGTTTGCTTGATGCTGCCACTCACAGATGGCGCCACCGGCAGCGCGGCGCTTTCGAAGCGCAGACGATCTTACCGTACACTTGCTGGGATCTGCTTTCGCGTGTTAACTGCAAGGAAACTTTCAAGTTTCCATTTCAAATAGTAATTCCATGTTTTAAAATTTACATATTGCAAAAAAAAAAAAAAAATGGTTTGCTCTGTATGTTTATACAGCCTTGATGGAGATACCAAGAGATCAGGAGCTCCCGCTGGTTAAAAGCTTGCGCCTTACTAGATCTGGTGGGCTACAGCCACTGTTTGGTCGCACTGTGCGTCACCAGAACTCTGTCTTGGTGAAGTGTGTAACTCTCTGGCGCTCGCTGCCAAAGACGCTGACTGACTGTCCACCCCAGGAGAAGGAGGACCTTAAAGCCTGGTGCAAGGAGGCATCGGACTTCCTTCAGCAGTGATCTTCCATGGAAAAAAACCTTGCATGCTTCATTGTCATATTTATTTATTTATTTGTTTCTTTTTCACAATATGTAGTAGTGCAGCACCACAGGCCTCAGGTATGGGCCAATGGCCTTTCTGTGGTGTCGCAACCCTCCAGGGTTGAATAAAGATATTATATTATGTTATATTACACCACAGCGGTAATCGTTAATCGGTCTCTTAGCTGTAGATGAGAAATTTAGCCAGTGCAGTACAACCGCTAACCTGGGATTTTTAACCTGCATCACATAGTAGTGATAACACGAACGTGTGCCGGTACGAAACTCATCCAGATCGAATTATGGCAAATTTTGTCCAGTGCAACAGACGAAACTCGAACTGCCTTCAATCTATCTGAGTCAAAAGAAGTCCGACTGAATGTGCAGTAGCAGTAGCACAAGGCTACCAAACTGCAACCTCTCTTGCGATTTAAAGCGCTTTCCATTTCTCTTTTAAGTGAAGTGCTTGTGGGACTGCGAGGGAGGCGGAAGAATAGGGGGGGAAAGAGGAGGGGGAGCCACGAGTCGCACTTTAACACACGAAGCACCGCAGCTTGGCCACCCCTGATATAGCGTTTCTTTCTTTCTCATTTTTGTTTCTGGAAACCTATACTCACGAAATTTTAGTATGATAAATGCACCCCTTAAAGACACCTTTGTGAAGAGTTGAGCTGATTTATGCTGTTCATTTTACACTCCGACATCGCTCGGGAATACATTGTAAAAGGGGTGCCTCCGTCATAGAAGGCTGACTACAAGCTAGTCATATCCTATTAATATTCATTAGCAGGAAGTTGGTAGTTCCTGATGTGTCTTTCGATAAACAACTGTAAAACTCGGGGGAAAAAAATAACTTACCATATGTGGAATCATACAATATGCTAATTTCCAGTAGCTTGCACGCTAGGTCACGCCGGCCATGATGCTTTGCCCCCCCCCCCCCCCCCCCCCCCCCCTTGGCGCCATCGCGCCCTACCAAGCAGCGAGCATGCCCAGCCAAACCAAACATTCTCTGTGGCGGGTTCCTACGCTGTTTGACTGCCACTCATACTTTTTTTTTCCAGTTATTTCTTGCACTTCACATAATGTTTAAAATGTCTAAAGAGTAACTCCGCTTCGTCTCCGCTTCGTTTTTGTTTTTGAAAAAAACAATGCACTCCTCTTTAGTACCACCTAGGAAAACCACACGTCAAATTTTACGACCTAGTTCAGTCTAATTGTTTCTTAAACGGTCCGGCAAGCTTTGCAACTTGCCAAGTTGCCGAAGTTGGTTGACTCGAGCAGGCGAATTGAGACCCAACAAACAGTGCAGTCAAGGCTACAGCGTGGGCGAAGCCAGCATTGAGCTATACGTCATCACCATTGCCCTCCTTTTGCTTGTTTTATTTTTCCGGGCAAGCGTAGTGGGTGATGTTGGCAAAGTTTCCTCTTGGGGCTCAGCGGAGTCCACGTGATTGACGTAACGCGCCTGCGCAGCGCGCTTCTTGGGAGCCGTCCGGCCGCCCTGCCGTGGCCCCGCTGTTACTGCCGTCTCCCGCGTCACAACCGCCGTTGTTGTCTCACCGTTCGTGATTATTGTCTCTAGGAGTTTCGCCCACACTACGGACACTACGTGCGCAGATTAATGCCACTGTTGTGCCGACGTTGTCGAGCGTCGTAGACACCAAAACGTGATGAAGAGTGCGGTGCAGACGACACTTGCGCCTCGCACACGCCCGACCCAATCCTGCCCGTTGCTGTGTAGAGGGTCACGTGACGTCTCGTACCACGTGATAGCCATGTTCTTTGCGGCCGGAGGCCTATGTTGCCGGACGGAGCTGAAGTTTCGGTTTCGATTTCTGCTCATGTTTAAAATTAGATTTAAAAATATATAACCCATTTTTTGTTAAGCAATTTACATAGTGTCTTTTATAGGGCTTTTTAATCCGAAATCACTCATTATCCCAATATCTTCATAATTGAGCAGAGTTGCCCTTTAAGTACAACACCCCCCTCACACCCCCTCCCCCCCCCACCCCCCAAAAAAAAAAATTCACAGGGTTTTTTTTACTGCAAAAATAAACTAAGCATCACGAAACACTCATTCTTTGCCCGAATGTAGTGCCAGCAGCCCAAACCCGCAAATGCCAAGGTTTCAGCACTAACAATAATTTGATTAAAAAAAAATATGTGATTTTCTCAAATTTTCGGTGGGAAAATGGAAATTGACGAAGCTGCCAAATACACGTTGCCAGTTACCGAAAACGGGCGAAAATGGGCCCCATTTTCCTTTCAAAATGTTGTGAATATCGCGCAATTTTTGAAGAAAAAGAATGATTACTGCAGAGTCTGTGACATCTGGTCCAGACCACCCGCGCTACATTTGGGCATAGAATGAGCGTTTCGCAAGGCATAGGCAGCAAGCGCATGCTTGAGGTCGAGCCTTCGTAAGAGACGCCCTGCAGCTCTCGTCTTGCCAGCGACTAAGGAAGCTTTGTATCAATGTTGACTCAACGAGGGCTACCCTTTTCTCTATTGGACGTCACGCATGGTGTCCTCTTAGAGGCCCAGTCTGTGCTCGTGTCAACAAGCAATCTGGATGGAGCATTTATGAAGAGAATACAAGTGGCATCTATGACGCGTACGCATGAACATGTCCTTGAGACAATTAGCGGAGTAATTGTTTGAATTTATGTTGTAATTTGGCAGCAGTACGCCGATTACGCTCCCCCTCCCCTGTCCTCCCCCCCCCCCCCCCCCCCCCCCCCCCAAAAAAAAAAGTAAAAGACGTTAAAGAATATATAATTTTTTTGACCAGGTTGGTCCTTGTTTGTTCTGACAAGCTGCGCACTTTGCTTTTACGGTAGTTGGTGAGTGTACTGGCAGTGACCCGTAATAACTCTCGGTAACTTGAAGAAACCCTGCTCTGCTAGATCGCAATGCTTGTTTGCACTTACTCGTGTTTGCACTTTCGATAGTCGCAGTTGCAAGCATACTTCTGTGGAGCCAAAACTTCACTCAGCCAGGCAGAATGATGCTCACCAATGGTATAGCGCTACAACATGAACATGCACCGTTTTGAACCCCCTCTCCCTTCGCCCTCCGCACCCCAAGTCGTGAATATCCCAACAACCTCAGCCTCCCCCCTCCCTCCTTTCCGTCTTTAAAAAAAAAAAAAAAAAGGAAAAAAGATTCTGGCTTTGCCATGATGCTTATTCAGTGCTGTTTGGTCCACGACCCTCATAAGCTCCAGTTGCGTACCCAGGGAGGAGGCTTGTGCGGCTTCAGCACCCCCCCCCACCCCCCCCCCACCCTCACCCCGAAATACAGAGGACTTTATAATACACACCCATTTACAAGGTAAACAACAACAAACAAGACGGCGGCTTTCTGTTGCCATATCCATTCCCATTGCTGGGCGTTGTGTGTGTTTTCCTATGGGACTCGCACAATGACGAGTGTGTATTATTTATGTTTGCCTCTGAATGATTGAGCTCATTACGAACAAACATTAATGTGTCAATACTCATCGACCTGTTTGAAACATTCAACATCACAAATTCAGGAATGTTGAATGAAGAGCGTCATTTGTACCCTTAAGTGACCTGACTCAAAACGATGTAACATGCTGTGAAGAGCTACGTCGACACGACCATGAGTAGACACCCATCCATACAGGTGCGCTTGACTATACAACCGCTCCTTGAATTAATTGTCACGCTTAAATTCATACTAAGCGACAGGGATGTCTTGGTGACTCACAGCTGGGGGGATCGGTGGCCGAGTGGTCTAGCGCACACCAGCTCGGAGCACGTGGAGCGAAAGCTCGCGCTGCAGAACCCAGGGATCCTGGGTTCGAGCCCCACCCCTGCCCATCTCGATCTGGATGAGCATCGTACCGGCGTGCGGTCGTGTATCACTACTGCGTGATGCACGTTAAAGACCCCACGCTAGCGGCTGTACCGCACTGGCTAAATTTCTCATCTACAGCTGGGAGACTCGTCGCCCCTCTGAGGCAGACCAAGTTCTAGGCTGTATAAACACACACACAACCCAATTATTATTTGACTCGCAGCTGTAAGTTGTAACTCGACGCAAGTTCCCACAACATAGTCAAATGCTGCTACGTCAGTGTGCCTTTATCCATGCGTCGTATGAGGCATGGCCACATGCAACGAATTCAGCGATTAGTCTTTCACACGACATATGAAGAACAGATGTCCCAGTAGTGTCTCAACGTAGCATCATCAAGCATACTCAAAGTTCACACACTATTGTGTGAATCTAGGTTTGCCAGCCAAGAAGCAGAGCGTGTGTGTGGTGCCGGGTTGCGTAACTGCACAACAGGAAAATAGCAAAACATAGAATGTTTGGATTTTTTAGGAACATCTGCCGGTCTGTCCTGTCCTTTCCGGTTAGTTACTTGAGAGTGGTATACTTTTGTCGTAATTTACAATTGCCTAGGATTATAAATCGCACACATCCCCGCATTGATAGACCCAATTAAGTAAATAAAAAAGACTACAAGGCCGTCATTAGTCGATAGCTTCATGTGTTGAAGAAGTAAATACTTGAAATACATTTTAGCGCTCAGAACACAAGGACTAAAAGTCGAAAATCAGACACCACATTCTCGTCTTTTTGTCCTTGTGTTTTGAGCGCTAAAATGTATTCCAAGTTCCAAAACCAACTAGCCCAACAATCTACTCTACTAAAGTAAATTCCTTTGATATGCTAATAAAAACCTCCTGGCCTGCCAGACTCTGCATCCCATTTCGTCAATGAAATGGTTATTGACGCGCATTTCACACTTTATGTCCAACGACATTTTATTGTTACGGCTGCATTCTGTCGACAAGACAAGCTCGCACTGCCGTCGATTTGCCACGGACACGACAATGATTTTCATCACGTGGGAAACAAAACAGAATCACTTTCGAGACTTGGTTCACAACTTCTCAATCAGATAGTGCATCCGTAAGCATATCAGGCATTTCGGCAGAATTTACCTATGCACAGCAATAAAAAAATCACCCTGACGCAGTAGTGAAACCCCATTAACAAGAACACATTCATTCCAAAACCAGAAATCATGTAGGCAATGAGGTGCCCAGATGGGAGAAAATTCGAAGTCGCCAAAAATGGGTGTACCGACTTGTGTTTTGACCCCACCCCCCTCCCCCCTTCCCCTCTGCACACCAAATCACGGACATTGCAACCGTCTCCGCAGCCCCCCCTCCCCGAAAAAAGCTCCTGGATACACGAACGATAAGCTGCAATGGCAGTTTGGTGTGGCAAAATGGCCGCAAATGTAAACACATAAGCTATTTATAGTTAATGCCTCAGTCTTTAAGCGTGACAGTTTCATACAATTGGTTACAGCTTCATATCCATTTTTGTGGATGACGCACATTGTGGATAATTTTGGGGGAAAATGGAGATGTCCATATTAATGTGACATCACTGTACTCAGCACAGACCTCCATTCTTTTACGCTCGAAGTTACGGAGACGTGCGAGTAATAGTTGTTGGGACATGCTCTTTAACTTCACATCTATTGCAGTTATCTACGTTTCTCATAATACATTGTTTTATCGGCGTCATCTGAACATCTGCTTGACCTGTTTATTTGGGCCACTAAACTGCCGGTGAAATTCCCTTCTCACTTTTTTTCCGCAGGACTCACAGCGACGGTGATCTGGCCCGCAACCCAGAAACATGTCGACAAGTACCTGCCAAAGACCCAGTACATGGTCGCAGAAACACCGCAGCTGTACAAGGAAGTCACGGAGCCTTACATCACATCACAGCAGTTTTCACTGCAGGTGCGTTGCCACCTTAAACCGGCCCGCGCCGAGCTCTAATTCAGGTTGCGAAATTTTATATCCGTGTTTTTTCTATAACATGGGGCCCGATTAACACCGATTTTGTTGTCCAACAGGGAAAAATAACACAAAATCTGTGGGGAGAAAAAGAGAAAAAAAAAGAAATAATAACATCACTGAATTTGAAGAGAAATCTACCCCGAAAGTGTGAAATCCTACTCATAGCATCCGCCACAGTTCTTTGTAGGGGGAGACAGAGTGTAGCGTTTATTCATCGGTCTACTTTCTAAGACCGTCCACAACGTCTCTCGGGCATCCGGCCGCAGTGGGTGTGCAACATCCTGGAGCACAAGAAGGAGACAGAGCGCATCCTCTACGAGGACCCGGACCAGGAGACGGGCTTTGTGCTGCTGCCCGACATGAAGTGGGACACAAAGCAGACGGAGAACCTGTACGTGCTGGCCGTGTGCCACCGGCGCGGCCTCCGCTCCCTCAGGGACCTCACCCAGGAACACCTCCCCCTGCTGCGCAACATCAGAGACAAGGTCTACGTAAGTAGCTTCGGTTCTGGGCATGCCGTTCGAAATCCCAAAGCTCCTGGCACCTTTGCTATGGTGCTTGAAACTCGTCTTTGATCGGTGTGGTTGGACGGTTTTAGGTGACATGCTTTCGGTTCGAAATCTTGCCAGACACCATTTGGTGAACTTTTGCTCAATGTCTTTCTATGTGTGAAGGCAGTGTTTTCCAGCTCGCTTGAGGTCTTCCGTGCCAAGATCTACTGCGCCAGCCAGAGTAGTCGGGAACATAAAAGAGCATCGTCTGGTACTTGATTCATACTTAAAGGGGCCCTGTGATCATATTTAAGCATCAACCTTTTTTGCAGTTTTCACATCTCTTGGGGTTCGGGCAAGCCAGCAGGCACGGAGAGAGTAACTAAATGTCTGTGTGTCATATTTTAACCGGACGACGTGGAAACCTCCTCCACCTACAAGGGCGACCTGCGGTGTTGAAAGCGCGCGATATGTAACGACATTGTGACGTTTTTGGTCCTGGCCTTACTACTGGTCAGAGCCGCTAAAAGCTTTTTTTTAGACGAAATACAAAATATAAGTGGCGTGAAATGTTTCAGTTATTTCTGAAAGTAGTTTTTGTTCAGTGTTTTAGATCAGAAAAGAAACAAGTGCAATTGATAAAGTATGAAAACAAGAAATGATCCGTCGACATACCCACCACCAAGCGGTGGAAAAGGCAGTGCATACTAGAAAGGACTAGTGGGATCAGGCCCCGACGAGCAGCGAGCGTAGAAAGGTCCTGGATGTACGCGGTGGCGCTGCGGTGGTATGGGCTTGAGGATCCGACCGGTTCCGAGCGTTCCAAAGGCCTTCAGCGAGCAGTCTTGGCTTGCAGTTTGGCCGTTTGACAGCGTGAAGTGGCTCCCATTCCGAGCTGATCTTTACCCCGTGTTTGCTGTCGTTTGTGGTCAATGAAATGTCATGCTGAATTAGTATTTAGTTGCGCAGCAAATGTAAGGCGAGCCGCCCTAGCCACCCGCTTCATCCGGCCTATCCAGCACATGCTTTAGTGGCGCCCTCTGGAGCGTCGACACGGAGTGTGGCAGCCGTGAGCGCTCGCTGAGCTCACTACCCTTCCTCTAGTACGTGACCACTCAAGCCAGACTAAAAACGTCATGGAGGAGGTGCTCGTGTAGTCTGTTACAAGTAACGAAATTACCTCTAATCCCTTATCTGTAATGTTGTAAGGAAGTAATGTCATATTATATAAGGTTATTGTACAGTAATTGTCTTACTTTCCTACATAAGGGAATGATTGTAATCCTCTATGTTTCCGTTTCCATTCAAAGGAAAAAAGGAGCAACTTTAAATATGGACAAAAAAATATATAAAAATAAAATATATATACATACAGTACTGTCTTTTCAGGTGTATGAGACAGTTTTTTCCCCAAATTTTCGGCGGTGCGTCTTATATGTATATTTTCTTTTTCTTTTTGACTAACTCTGAAAGAACTCCTGTTGATGCTGATTAGTCTTTTTTCAACTATTATAACAGCTCAATGCCAATGATGCATCATAAATGCAAGTGCATAAATATAGGTGCGTCTTATACACAGGTGCATCTTATATACTAATTTTTACTTAGAAACTTGCGAAAAGGGGGGTGCGTTTTATATAGCGATGCTTCTTATACACTGTAAAATATGGTATATATGTAAATTTTTTCTTTAAGGGTAAGCTTTATTGGAATCATACTGTCACCTGCACTTACAAAGCACAAGGCCTGGCATTCTTCAGATGCTCAAAACCTTTCATAATGTCACCTAAAAAACTTTCTTTTTTGTGGCTTGGCTGTTTCAAAAGTGTAGCTCGTCCACTTGGTTGCCCACAACGATGGTGTAACCACACTGATACGCACTGATGCGTGCAAACGATATTAGGCAAACTCACAAGGTCAAAATCTTTCCTTTTAAAGAAAACTAAAAAAAAAAAAAAAAGTCAGAGTGCACATGAGTTGTTGTGGCAGATCTGTGCACACCTTGTCTTTTTGCCCCTTTGCTCTTTTCTTTGCTTCCTTTTCTGTACAAGAGAGAAAGAGAGGACTTCCTTCCGCCAACTTCAGGGACGAAGATAATCCATACTGGGGACAGAACCAAAGTTTGGGGGAGCCATAACTAGGTCACTGCGTCTCAATGGGCCAACAGGATCTGGCTGATGTTTTGCATGTCGAACGGGTAGGAGAGGCCCTGTGAGTGCATTGTTTTCTAGCCACTCAGTCTCAAACCCAGTCACGCATCCAGGTGGCGGCACCTATTTGGAAAAGGGTGGATTGAAAACGTGTTCTCCGCGGCAAACAACATTGTCCAATTAGACATTTTAGAGCCAGATGTTGCTCTGCGACAACAATAAACATTTCCATAACACTCGTGTTTCGTGTCTTACCCTGGGACAGTGAGGGTGAAAGTAATGCTGCAAAAGTAACGGATGACCTTTTGAAGTAACGGTCGCTTACTCAGGGATGTGATTGCTGCGCCAATTGCGCCAAACTGTGCCAAGGGGCTAACCCTGCTACATTCTGCTACATTTCGCCGAAATATGGCTATTCTGCGCCAAGCCTGCGCCAAAGGACCAATTTGGGTCGCCTTTCAGAAACGGAACTAAACTAAGAACCGTAATTGAGCATGCGTGAGCTAGTTGGCACAAGACGCCGCCCGACACAAAGCACCCTGCATCAATCGTCTATTCGGTCTTGCATGATTTTTCCCATCGTCTTGCGTTTCACGCTCTCGTCGTCTCCGGAATCTCGTCTCGCGCCTTTTTCTTTTTTCTTTTTTTAAATTTTTTAGTGATAGACAAAGGCGTGTGCGGACTCTCCAACGTTAGTGTGCCGGGTTCCAGACATGCTGTCATGCTGTGAAACAAAACCATGTTTTTGCGCGGCGAGAGTTACTTTGTGAGCTGAAGCGCTCGCGCGACCACAGTCGCCGTGGTCACGCGACGTCGTGTGTTGCTGTCCCCACGTCGCTGCAGACATGGCGCTTTCTAAACTGAAACGCATCGACATTCCTGCTCTTGTTTAAATCATATGCTGCTATAAAAATCCCTCTTTAACTTAGTGACTGCTTGGCGAAGTTTTGATTGCCTAGGTTTTGTCTCGGCAGGCTTTCTTTCAAGGGGGACCCCGGTACGTGAAAAATCTACCGCGAAAGAAAGTTGATATTGACAAGCGAGCTAAAGCAACGAAGGCAATTTCTGCACGCTGAACCCGCACACCGCGCTTGTTTGTCTCGAGTTTAGTCGTTGCACAAAGCGCTCCAAGAACTTTTTGACCTTGATTTCGCAATGTTTTGCACCGATACGCTCAGGTTCTTTTTTTTTCTGTGTTTAGCCTGTACCTCGCCTCCCGGCCTGACAAGCACGCGCCGCTGGACTGTTTATTGTCGTATGCTGGACAGTTACATTTTGCATACTATTTTGGGAACCAGTTGGCAGCGGAGTGGAGTGGCATGGTTTCGGTTTCGGTCGAACAGCCGTTGTCTCCGCTCGCGCGGCGAATCACGTGTAATTGCAAGCCTGCCGAAATTGCCCTCACGTGCATGTGAACATGATTGCACGAAAGGCACCAACCAGCCGGGACGCTTGCAACGCATTGTTTTATGTTTGCTTACTTTTTATAAAAATCTGCCACGTCGGGAACCAGTAAAACAATAGCAAGTGTTTTTTTTTTTTGTTTTTTTTTTTCAGAATTGTTTGGCAACGCTTACAGCTTTGTATACTTGTGGGATGTCTCAGCACCAAAAACACAAGCAGCGAGTTCCACCCCAAAACGTCGCATCACACCACAACACAAAGTGGCCTTCGTTTGTCCAGCACTTAAAACAAATATTTATTTTTCTAAGAATATATGCTCCAAAAGCCACTTTTGCTGCTCCAAAACACTGTCTTGGCTGTGCCAAAAGGTGCTCCAAAATGGCTTAGGCCAATCACATCACTGCTTACCTTTATAAAGGTGTAATGATAATTAGTTAAGATTTAGCCATGGGTAATTGTAATTCCTTACATTTCTTTAGTAACGTGTACAAGTCTGGCTCAAACGCAATGCCATTGACCAAGAAAATATTTTACTGTTTTTTAGGGTGCGCGTTGCAATTGCATACATGAATAAAAGCGATCAATTTTTGTTTTCTATCTCTTCTTCGCAGTACTTGATGATGTATCTCGGAGGTCGTAGTGTCGGCATAGTCCCCCAGCGACGATATTTGAATGCTGCTCATAGGTTCGACCCAAGCATTGTGGGAGCACTCGATTTGGGCTCATGATAACCAATAGTATTGTTTCTTCTGATGAAGTGGTGTGCATATATCTTGAGTCGTCTAGTTTGTGGTGGCATTCAGTCAAACTCGGGGGCAACTGATCACGAAATATTGATAAAAATTAGTGCTGATGTTTAAACACTTCTAAAGCATAGTAATGGTTTGAGAACTTGTCCGCTTGGGTTACGTCTAGCGAAGACCTCATAAAGACCCAGGCAGAAGCATTTTAAGAACATATTCACACTGGAACATCTTGAAAACAGAAAACATAGAAATAATGTAGAAAAAAAAAAGAAAGAAAAAATAAAACGGAGAACGTAGAAATAAATAAAAAATACTATGTGCCAGCATTTCTGAACAAACTACCCTCTAGCATTTTTAATTTAAGAACAAAGTACAAGCTCAAGAAATCCCTGAGAAATTTTAGTTTGTAAAGTGCTCACTACTTTGCTTTTTTACTTTAATTTCTTTGTGTGAATTTTATTTTACATGTTTCCTTTTGCGTACGGCTAGTTGCACTGATTGTAAGACGCTGCCAGTCAAGCCCAATGTGGCTTAGGCAGGTCTGACTTCACACTCGCTTTGTTCATTTCTAATACAATTATTATTATTAATAACTTGATGATCTATTGCCTATTGCCTAAACGAGCCTCCAAATGAAAGTCCGTCTTCACTAAACGATGAAGTGCTCACGGAAATATTTGAACAAATTTTAGAAGTCGCA